AAGTCTAGTGTTTCATAACAATGAATACTTACTGGGACAACTAGAGACGTCTTGTGTCTCATTACAATGATTACTTACTGGGGTTAGTTATTGAAACTGCTAGGAACGTTTTGTGTCTCATAACAGACTATTTATTCAAACTGGCTTCTTCCCGCTTATTTGTTAGATTTGAACGATGACGCAAGATCTCGAGCTTGTCCCGCCGTCGCTTGTGATTCGTCAGAGGAGAAGAATGTACAAGAGGAAGCTTTAACAACGAAAAAAGTCAGGTTTGATTTCGAGGAAAGTTTGGATACAACTTTTACATCAAAGAGGAATTCTCGGAGTCTCGTGAAAAGCTCTACTTGTGTTATAGGATGGAACTCAGGTACGTAATAATCAACTTCTGACGCTTCTTCGTGGATGTCACGAAACGAGTTAACAAGAAAAGTGTATTTCCGTCTCTAGAAACTTAAGTTTGTTTAGTATTACAAAATATTAACCAACGATCCTTGGTGGGGTCATTTGTTGACAAAGTTCATGTAAATAAAAAAAACAATGGCATTAAACTGAGACCTTACGTTTTGTAGGTTTTGTAGAGTGTTTTTACAATGCTACATTTTGGTAATAATTGTGACACTAACGATCTTTATCTGAAGATAGATAGTACAACAAGAAAAAAAAAACTCGTGCTCCCTGGTGGCTCAGATGGGTGTGGGCTTATAACACTCAAACCCGAGTTTGCATACCTGTGGTGGGCACGGCAAAGATGGCCCATTGTGTAGCTGATCTCTTGATTGTTCTTCTGGTCAAGAGACCTAGGAGGTTCGGGTACATCCTGGCACCTCTACCTATCTTCGTGAATGTCGTAGATGAAGTTGTCCGATATAATTCGGTCCGTTAGCTACAATTGTTGACACGCGAGTGTGGTCCTTTTCAAGCCATATCCTTGAATTTCAACATAGATTTTTTTTCTTCTTTTCCGGTAAATATTTCGCTTTTTTTTTTGACAAAGGAACAAACAGACCGAAATTCCCGCGTCTATTTGCAAGTGTTCGATTGATTGTTTGTTTGTTTTTGCGCAAATCTACACGAGGGCTATCTGCCCTAGCCGTCCCTAATTTAGCAGTGTAAGGCTAGAGGGAAGGCAGCAAGTCATCACCACCCACTGCCAACTCTTGGGCTACTCTTTTACCAACGAATAGTGGGATTGACCGTAACATTATAACGCCCCCACGGCTGAAAGGGCGAGCAGGTTTGGTGGTGTTCGATTGAAAGGCCACCTACACAAAGTCTTATCCAAGGAAAATTTTCATATGGTGTCACCTAGCAGCGAGGCCTATTTTCCAAATGGCATTAACGTTATGATTTTGATGATTGAGCAACACATCAGTGACATTCTTCAAAAAACAAAGAGCTTCTCTCCCCCCCCCCCTTTAGATGTCTGAAAATATCTGATGAGAAACCAGGATATTGTTTTTATATCCTGACATTTTGATAGAAAATTCCAAACTTATGCAACCAGAAATATCTGTGGTCAGTAACAGAGAAACTAAAACATTTCTCAGACTTAAGGATTTTTGCCGCTAGTTCACCATTTCGTATAAGTGACATCAGGTGGCAACTTTTGTAAGCTTTTCTCAGACGAGTTAGTTTCTTAAGCCTATCATATTTTTTGGTATCGCTGTGATTAATCTTGATAAGTGTGTATTTGCAGATGTACCATGTCTTTGTGTATTTTATAAGTTATAAGTGACATCTGGTGGCAACTTTTGTAAGCTTTTCTCAGACGAGTTAGTTTCTTAAGCCTATCATATTTTTTGGTATCGCTGTGATTAATCTTGATAAGTGTGTATATGCAGATGTACCGTGTCTTTGTGTATTTTATAAGTTGCAGTTATTGTACTTATTTTGTTTTTATTTTTTAAGATTCTCTTATTTCTTCTAATATCATGTCGCTAGAGGGACTATTTTTATGGCATTTTAACAAAGGAGAAATATGCGCATCTTGTTTACGAGATTTTAGGTTTTTTTTCAATATATATATTAAATAGAAATCATTACTTTGAGTTAAACAGATCTTAAAACTTATTCAGTTGTATTGCCACTAGAAGTCGCCACTAGAAACGATGTCTTCGTGGAGATTTCATGAAATAAAGACACATTACGATATATTTCAGGAATAGCCCCATCTACTGGCACAACTTCGCAAGAATCTCAGCAAATAAAAGAAGATTTAGAAAGGTATAGGCTTAACCAGTCGTGTCAACTTCCAGAACCTGAAGCTGTCGGTTCAGTACCAACTAGATATCGTGTCAGCACATGCGCAATGAATGATAATCGTGTTGATATGACCTTTCCTTCGCGTTCCGCAGCTCCAGTCGCCAGCTTTAAAAATGAAAGAACGTGCCGCCACTCCTTAGAAGGGAGTGCCAGCCATATCAACTTATCTAATAGTCAAGTGCTTAGGCAAAACCTGCACTGTAATGGTGCGGGAAGTGATTTCATCCCGCCACAGGTGAAAACAGGATATGACGTTATTAACTCGAACATCAACTTGCCCAGAAATGTCGCCTCGTCCCCCACTGGCGAAAGAAACGTGTCAAGAGAAACTAGACAATTAAGATATTCCTCCTTCGTTACAGTGAAATCACGAGACAATGACAGGTCAGAGGTCTCCGATATTTGTCAAATGAACAAAAATATGTCATGTGAACAACTACAACGTTTCCCTGACGTCGACGATCAAGAATCAAGAAATGTTGAGTGGGTTAGGCTGGCTGAAGCAAGACAACAAAGAGAATTCGACTGGTCCACACTCGGTAATTGAAAGTTTTTATTAAACGTCGGTAGATTTAGGACATGAGTTTAGGTCACCAAACCACGTGAAAGTTCTTACTTGTTTGTTTGTTTGTAATTAAGCATAAAGCTACACAAAATGGGCTATCTCTGCTCTGTCCACCACGGGTATCGAAACCCGGATTCTAGTGTTATAAGTCCGCAGACATACCGCTGTGCCACTGGGGGGGGGGGCAGTTCCTACTTTAAATATTACTCCGTCAATATACTATTAATTTATTTGATTTAAATCGTAAGTTTGTAAAACAGAAAGGGGGCGCCACCATACTAATTGTGAAGTGCGTGCTTACGAATCAGTCAAATTAAACATATTTTTAGAAATGTATATATATATGAAACGACTCTACAAAATATTGAAACAGGTAGGATGATTAATTTGAAATTAAAATTAAACAGCCGTTGTATTGATTGGTATTTAGAGTCAAGAAGACGTATATATTGAAATTCCTCCTGGTAGTTTATCTTTAATTTGCACGTATCCACACAAATAACGTGAGAACGCGAGATTTATACATGGATGATTTAAAACAGTGTTTCCCAAAGTGTGAGCCATGAAGCTGAAGATGCTCGATTAATTTCAATTATAAATAAACAATAAGCTGATAAAAATTATGTTGAATTGATAAAATTACAGGATTGCTTCATATTTTAAAATGAAAATAACATAACCTTACATAAAATTAAGTGTGTATTTAATTGCTCATCAGGATACAAATTTAACCCAAACACAATAAACTGCTAATGGTCTAATTATAATACATAGAAATTGATAAGAAAAGGCCACAGTAAATTACAAACATACAATTTAATAATAGAAAAACTACTTTATAAATACCATTAAAGTTCACTAGTAATTATTTTTTGAAATTGTTAAATCACATTTTAAGGATGTTTTTATAGGTTGGGGGGGGGGGGGCTTCAAACTTTTTTATTTACATCAAGAGAGCCTCGGATTAAAAGAATTTGGTAATCGCTGATTTAAAGAACGGCTTAAAAGTAACAGAACTCTAGAACATGTATAAATTTGATTTTGGTTTGATTGTTGTTAAGTTCAAAGCTATACATTGGCCTATTTGTGCTATGCCCACCACGGGTATCGAAACCTCATTTTTAGGGTCGTAAAAGCCTGTAGAACTTACCGGTGAGCCACGGGGGGGAAAATGTCGAGCATAACTGTATTTCCTGACAGCTGTCCATATAACATACACTAAACACAAACTTAAATGAAAATAGAACAGTTTATTCAGGGATATTTATTAGCCAATCCATAGTAGCTCATAGAATGGCTCCGAGTTTTTTTCTTCTTTCAAATACAAACTTTTAGCTCATAACTATGTCATCTCTTGACCAATTTCAGATCTAATTACAGTTTTGGACTCAGGGGGTCACACCCTTTCGATTGATTTATTTGACTACGCCCAAGATCTCATAGATTAATTTACTCTAATCCTGCTGCGGCTATTGAGGATTCCCTCTTGTTCTTCTTTTTTAAATAATAAGTTTGTTTATATATAATTTTCATGTTTTTGACGGCCGATTTCTGAGTAAGCCAATTGATAACAAATATATAACCCCGCCGTGTGATAGCAAGTATAACCCCGCCATGTGATAGCAAGTATAACCCCGCCCATGGCGGGGTTATACTTGCTATCACATGGTGGGGTTATACTTGCTATCACACTGATAGCAAGTATAACCCCACCATGTGATAGCAAGTATAACCCCGCCGTGTGATAGCAAGTATAACCCCGCCATGTGATAGCAAGTATAACCCCGCCATGTGATAGCAAGTATAACCCCACCAGCTACATTATTGCACATGATTTTTAAGATTTATTTCCGCATGTCTAGAGTTGTTGATTTATTTTTGAGAAACTTAAAGCAAATCTAAGCCTTTTATTGCACCTTGACCCCAGTCTTTAATTATAACACTAATCTTGTCAGTGCCGCTCCCAGTGGCTCAGCGATAAGTCTGAAGGCTTACGAAGCTAAAACGCGGGTTTCGATATCCGTGGCGGGCAGAGTACAGATAGTAAGTCAATACCATCTACATAGTTCAGTGGTCGGCAACCTTTTTTGATCGCGGGTCAATTATTTATTTTTTGTTGAAAAATTTAGCATT